TATCTATCTATCTATCTATCTATCTATCTATCTATCTATCTATCTATCTATCTATCTATCTATCTATCTATCTATCATCCATCCATCCATCCATCCATCCGCTCTCTGCTGGAGTTGTGGATTGAAGGTGGCAGGCGGTGGTGATGAGACGGCACGCGGGGGACTCCACCGTGGAGAGGAGGTGGGGGGAGTGATGGAGTGAGGGAGGGAGGGAAAGAGAGAGAGAGAGATGGATGGATGGAGAATGTAATTTTAAATGAAAGTCTATTTAACCCGCTGTGAATGGCCTGACCCCCATCCTGGCCTCAGAGCCCATCACTGTTAAAAGGATCATTTTCAGAATTCAATCCAAAAACTTCAGCAAGCTGCAATTTACTCTCTCTCTCTTTTTTTTCTTTTTCTTCTTCTCCTCCTCCTCCTCTCCTCCTCTCCTCCTCCTCCTCTTCTTCTTCATCCTCCTCCCGTTCTTGCATCAGTCCAAGCCGGAGCTTCAGCAAACGAATAACAACAAAAAAAAAAAACATTTAAGATTACCCAAGTTGTTCCTTCTTTTCTTTTTCCTCTCTTTTCAAGAAACCAACCCGTTGAGCTGAAGCAAAGTAAAGTTTGGTTAAAGTTGAACAAACTTCTTTAAAGTTCATCTTTTCTGCAACGTTTCTTTGCATAAAAGCAGATAAAAAGATCAGGTTTGTGTTTTTCTCTTTGCTTGTTTATTTGCATCAGTATAATGAGTGTAATAATAATATGAAATAAAATGTTATTCCCCCCCCACCCCCCGTTCCTTCCTGCGCGCGCTCACAAACAAGACGCGCGTAATCCAGACGGGTATTTAGAGTGGCTCTGTAATTTGGGGGCCACAATTTGATTCATTTATCCGCGCACTGTTATTAACCCTGTGGAAAAAGAGATGTCAGCCGCCATTTCAGCCAGCAGGACATCCGCGCTTTGTTTAAACGCACTAATTACGCGCATACATTAGAGCCCGGGGAGGGGAGGGGGGTGGATGGAATAGCCTGAGCGCAATTTTCACATTTTCAATTATGCGTTTGTTTGACGCGCAGGTGAAGAGAGGCCGCCTTTCGTTTTCAGCAAGGAAAGAAAAAGAAATCAACACCGCCTCCTTTGTATTTTCATAACATCCTAACCTGGTGATTTCCGAGGGAAACACCGAGTTCTGAGCTTTTTGTTTGTCTCCAACCCGCGGGCTCCTTTTGTTTACTGCTTTATATTTTTATATTTTTATTTTTATTTTAGCAAATGTGAGAACATGCGATCATTTCTGGGCGTGAAGGTGGATTTTCTGCACCTGTTTCTTCCGGTGTCAGGCTCCTCAGAAGGCCTCAGAGGTCGGGCCTTGGCCTGCAGGTCACTCCACTGGCGCCACCTGCTGGTTAGAAAAGGAAACTGCTCAAACATTTAAAAAATGAAGTTCGGATAATTTAAAAACAGAAATTTTAGTTTGCTGGTTGTTTGGGTTTTTGTCTGCTAGCAAAATATCTCACAAACCACTGGTCTAATTTCAATTACATTTGTTTTTAATGAATCATTAGAAATAAATCTGCAWCTGATTAACTTTTGGGGTCAACCCGACTCAATAAGGTCAACTGAACGTCCAAAGCTTCGAAGTGGCTAAAACTCAGCTAATT